AATTTGGGGTTTGGGGGGTCCTAAAAGGGAAAGTTTGAGGTTTGGGGGGTCCTAAAAGGGTAAATTTGGGGTTTAGGGGGTCCTAAAACGGGGAATTTGGGGTTTAGGGGGTCCCAAATGGAGGAATTTGTGGTTTGGGGGGTCCCAAAAGAAGGAATTTGGGGATTGGGGGGACCTAAATGGGGGAATTTGGGGGTGAAATGGGGTTTGGGGCTTTCCCATTTTGGGGGATCCCCCAATGGGGTCCCCTATGGGTTCTGTGGGGTTCTATGGGGTCCCCAATGGGATCTGTGGGGCTCTGTGGGGTCCCCAATGGGGTCTGTGGGGGTCCCCAATGGGGTCTGTGGGGTTCTATGGGGATCAGTGGGGTCTATGGGGTCCCCAATGGGTTCTATGGGGATCAATGGGGCTCTATGGGGTCCCCAATGTGGATCTATGGGGTTCTATGGGTTCCTCAATGGGATCTATGGGGCTCTGTGGGGCTCTATGGGGTCCCCAATGGGATCTGTGGGGGTCCCCAATGGGTTCTGTGGGGATCAATGGGGCTCTATGGGGTCCCCAGTGGGGTCCCCAATGGGATCTATGGGGATCAGTGGGGCTCTATGGGGTCCCCAGTGGGATCTATGGGGTCCCCAATGGGATCTATGGGGATCTATGGGGTCCCCATTGGGATCTATGGGGCTCTGTGGGGTCCCCAATGGGATCTGTGGGGGTCCCCAATGGGTTCTGTGGGGTTCTATGGGGATCAGTGGGGTCTATGGGGTCCCCACTGGGTTCTGTGGGGTCCCCAATGGGATCTATGGAAGTCCCCAATGGGATCTATGGGGATCAGTGGGGCTCTATGGGGTCCCCAATGGGCTCTATGGGGATCAATGGGGCTCTATGGGGTCCCCACTGGGATCAGTGGGGTCCCCAATGGGATCAATGGGGCTCTATGGGGATCAATGGGGCTCTGTGGGGTCCCCAATGGGATCTATGGGAGGTCCCCAATGGGAGGATCCATAGGGACCCCCAATAGGGGGGGGAGGTCCCCGCACCGAGACCCCCCCCGCCCTCTTCCCGCCGCGGTTTGGGCGCTCCGTGCCCCGCCCCCTCCGCCAGCAACCAATCAGCTTCTCGTGGGCGTGGTTTAAGTGTTGATTGACAGCTGAGGGGCGTGGCCAGCGCGGGCGCGGCTGTTGGCGCCGCTGGGGGGCGCTGTGGGCGGGGTCATTTGGCGACATTTGAGGATATTTGGGGACATTTGGGACCACTTGGGGACATTTCGGGGGGTCTGCGGTGCCAAATTCCCGAGCCCCACAAGCCCCACGTCGCCTGTCCCTGACCCGCGGGGTGACACGATCCGCACAGCCCCGGTGCCACCTTCCCGATGTCACCCCCATTCCCGGTGTCCCTTGTCCCCAGTGCCACCTTCCCGATGTCACCCCCATTCCCGGTGTCCCTTGTCCCCGGTGCCACCTTCCCGATGTCACCCCCATTCCCGGTGTCCCTTGTCCCCGGTGCCACGTGCCCGGTGCCGGCTGTCCCCTGTCCCCGGTGCCACCCCTGTCCCTGTGCCCGCTGTCCCCGGTGCCACGTGCCCGCTCCCGGTGTCCCGTTCCCGGTGCCACCCCCGTGTCCCAGTGCCACCCCTGTCCCCGTTCCCGGTGTCCCGTTCCCGGTGCCACCCCCTTTTCCCGGTGCCCGCTGTCCCCGCTGTCATGTGCCAGCTGCTTGTGTCCTGTGTCCCATTCCCGGTGTCCCCTTCCCGGTGTCACCCCCGCTCCCAGTGCCACCCCGGTGTCCCAGTGCCACCCCTGTCCCCGCTCCCGGTGTCCCAGTGCCACCCCCGTTCCCGCTGTCCCGTTCCCGGTGCCATGTGCCGGTTCCCGGTGCCACCCCCTTTTCCCAGTGTCCCGCTCCTGGTGCCACCCCCTTTTCCCAGGGTCCCGTGCCCGGCGCCACCCCCGTGTCCCAGTGCCACTCCTGTCCCCATTCCCAGTGCCACCCCTGTCCCCAGTGCCACTCCTGTCCCCAGTGCCACCCCTGTCCCAGTGTCACCCCCATTCCCAGTGCCACCTGTGTCCCCGCTCCTGGTTCCCAGTGCCACCCCTGTCCCAGTGCCACCCCTGTCCCAGTGCCACCTGTGTCCCCGCTCCTGGTTCCCAGTGCCCGTGTCCCTCTGCCACCCCACTCCCGGTGTCCCAGTGCCACCCTCGTTCCCAGCGCCACCCGTGTCTCAGTGCCACCTGTGCCCCCGCTCCCAGTGCCACCCCTGTCCCCATTCCCGGTGTCCCAGTGCCACCCCTGTCCCCAGTCCCGGTGTCCCAGTGTCACCCCTGTCCCCGCTCCCAGTGCCACCCCCATTCCCAGTGCTAACCCCGCTCCCAGTGTCACCCCTGTCCCCGCTCCTGGTGCCACCCCCGCTCCCAGCGCCACCCCCATTCCCAGTTCCAACCCCGCTCCCAGCGCCACCCCCGGTGTCCCAGCGCCACCCCCGGTGTCCCAGTGCCACCCGTGTCCCGGTGTCCCAGTGCCACTCCTGTCCCCGCTCCCAGCGCCACTCCCGGTGTCCCAGCGCCACTCCCGCTGCCTCCTGTCGCCGCTGCCACCCCTTTCCCTGTCCCCGCTGTCCCCACCGGTGCCACGCGCCCATCCCCGTCCCGCTGCCACCCCTTTCCGTGTCCCCACCGGTGCCACCCGCGCGCCCACCCGCGCCGTCCCCGTGTCCCGGTGCCGCCCCTTTCCGTGTCCCCGCTGTCCCCTCCGCCCCCCGCGCGCCTCCCCCGTTGCCCGTTGCCCTTCGCCCGTTGCCCGTTGCCCGTTGCCCCGGCCGAGGAAGGCGCCGGTAGCCGCGGAGCTCCGGGGAGGGTTTCGGGGTTCCCGGGGGCGGGTTCCGGGGGTGGCGGCTGCGGTGTCCCCGCGGGGCGGTGTCCCGGTGCTGGCGGTGTCCCGGTGCTGGCGGTGTCGCGGTGTGGCGGGGCGGTGTCCCGGTGTCCCCCCGGGGCTCGGGGGGCCGGTGATGCGGGCTCTGAGGGCGCTGCGGCCCCGCAGGCTCCTGGCGATGGCGGCGGCTCCCGGGGGGTCCCGGCGGGGCCCGGTGCTGACCCCCGAGTCGATGAACCCCGCGATTCGCCGCGTGGAGTACGCGGTGCGCGGCCCCATCGTGGTGCGAGCGCTGGAGCTGGAGCAGGAGCTGCGCAAGGTACCGGGAAAAAACCCAAAAAACCCAAAAACTGACCCAAAAAAATCCCCAAAAAGGGCGGGGGACAAAACCGGAGCGGGAGAAGTCGGGCCCGAAATGGGAACTGACACCGGGAACCGGGACAAAACCGGACCGGGACAATCCCGAACCGGACCGGGAGAACCAGGACAATCCCGAACCGGACCGGGAGAACCCGGTCCTGAACCGGGAACAGTCCCCGGGAACCGGGACAATCCCAAACCGGGACAATCCCGAACCGGGACAATCCCGAAGCGGGACAATCCCGAACCGGGAGAACCCGGCTCCGAACCGGGAGCAGACCTCGGGAACCGGAACAATCCCGAACCGGACCGGGAGAACCCGGCCCTAAACCAGGAACAGCCCCCGGGAACCGGGACAATCCCGAACCGGACCGGGACAATCCCGGACTGGGAAAACCCGATCCCGAATCGGGACCAGTCCCCAAGAACCGGGACAATCCCGAACCGGACCGGGAGAACCCGGCCCTAAACCAGGAACAGACACCGGGAACCGGGACAGTCCCGAACCGGGACAATCCCGGGCCGGGACAATCCCGGGCCGGGAGAACCCGGCTCCGAACCGGGACCAGTCCCCAAGAACCGGGACAATCCCGGACCGGGAGAACCCGATCCCAAACCGGGACCAGTCCCCAAGAACCGGGACAATCCCGAACCGGACCGGGACACTCCCGAACCGGGAAAACCCGGGCCTGAAAAGGGAAGAGACCCCAAAAACCGGGACAATCCCAGCCCTGAACCGGGACAATCCCGAACCGGGAGAACCCGATCCCAAAACGGGAACAGCTCCAGGGAACCGGGACAATCCCGAACCGGGAGAACCGAGACAACCCCGAACCGGGATATCCCGATCCCAAAATTTGGGGTCCCCTCCCCCCTAAATCGGGACCGCTCCAATCCCGGCTCTCCCTCCCCGCACCCCAAATTTGGCTCCTCCCGCCCCATAGCGCCCCCAAAAATGGGGTTTTACACCCCAAAAATGGGTTTATTACCCTCAAAAATGGGGTTTTACACCCCAAAAATGGGTTTATTACCCTCAAAAATGAGTTTTTCTTCCCAAAAAATGGGGGTTTACCCCCCAAAAATGGGGTTTTACCACCCAAAAATGAGTTTATTACCCCCAAAAATGAGTCTTTCTTCCCAAAAAAATGGGATTTTACCCCCAAAAATGGGGTTTTACCACCCAAAAATGAGTTAATTGCCCCCAAAAATGGGGTTTTACCACCCAAAAATGAGTTTATTACCCCAAAAATGGGTTTACTACTCCCAAAAATGAGGTTTTCTTCCCAAAAAATGGGATTTTAACCCCAAAAATTGAGTTTTACCACCCAAAAATGGGGTTTTACAACTCAAAATGGGTTTATTGTCCCCAAAAATGAGTTTATTACCCCCAAAAATGAATTTATTTCCCACAAAAATGGGGTTTTGCCCACATAAATGGGATTTAATCCCAAAAAAGGGGGTTTTCCCCTTAAAAAAATAGATTTTATCCTACAAAAATGGGTTTTATTTCCCAGAAAAGGGATTTTTCCCCCCCAAAAATGCAATCTTTTCCCAAAAAAGGGGATTTCCCCCCCAAAAAAAGTATTTTTTTCCAAGAAAAAAGAGTTTCCTTCACTAAAAATGAATTTTTTCCCCAAAAAAAGGGATTTTCCCCTCCAAAATTTGGTTTTAACTCCAAAAAATGAGTTTTTACTCAGAAAAAAAGGATTTTTCCCCCAAAAAAGGGATTATTTCCCCC